GGGCGGGGGCGGGGGTGAGTATGTTGGTTTCACAGCCCGGCTCAGGTTCGGATAGAGGAGAAGCTCCGCTGTAGCGAGTGGATCGCGTTCTCCCCGCTTGCTGCCTCCGCTCGCACTAGGGGAGCAGTTTGGAGGCGCGAGGCGGGAGTCGCAGCTCCGCCGCCCGGCTCCCGAGCCTGCTCTCTACGCCCTGCTTCCGCGCCGACCGCTCAGGAAGGAGGGGGCCGGGGCCGGCAGGCGGCGCGTGGGCTCAGGTCTGGCCATTCGGGCCCCTCAAGGGGTCGGAGCTACAGCGAGTCGGGAGACTGGGGCAGAGGTGCTGTGTCTGGAAAGGAGGTGTTGGCCCCAGGAACTAAGGTGAAGGGGGCGCGCCCCGGCCTTTGAACTTTTGATCTGCAAAAGGGTCATTTCAGTCTGAAGCTGGAGGGCAAGAAGCCGCGGGAGCGACGAGAATCCGTGGTGCGGATTCAGCCCCTGCTCCCAACAGGGGTCGTTTGTTCTGAATCCGGGATGGGTGTGTGTGTGTGAGTGTGAGTGTGTGTGAGTGTGTGAGCGTGAGTGTGTGAGCGTGTGTGAGTGTGAGAGTGAGTGTGTGTGTGTGTGTGTGTGAGTGTGTGCGCGCACGCGGGCGCGCGCACACGCAAGTGGTAAGACGCTGGTTCTGGAGCTGTTCCTGCGAAGGTCCTAGGTTTGCCGGACTGTGGGGCCCATTGGTTCCGGGTCTGCCCCTCGTAGCGTCGGGATGTGTGCGAAGGTGGGAAGGAAGAGTGAATAGGAGGCTTGGGAGAGCCCTGTTGGCGTCCCTTTTCGCTCCGCGAAGTCTTCCCAGCCCTCTGCACTTCCGCTCTTTTCTCTTCCCTCCTTTCTGACCCAGCCAGGCTGCGCGCAGGTTACGGCCGCTCGCAGAGGTTTATAGCCAATTACAGCCGTATAAATCAGAGCAACCGTTGGGGGCTGTCTCTGGGCATCCGTTTCTGCGTCACTGGGCACCTGCCGGGATCGTTCGGGTGGGAAATGCAGCCGCCCAGGGAGAAGGCACAGGGCCAGCCTCGAAACCTCGGCTTGGTCGCTTCCCCTAGAGGGGGCGCCCTGGTCGGAACAGAGCGCGCCCAAAGAAAGCTTTCTTTACGGAGCCTGCCAGGGGCGCAACAGGCGGGGACTCGCTGCCTGAGGGAGACCTTTGGCGCGTCCCGGGACAGCGCAGAGCGGAGGGAGAGGGAGGGGAAACGCAGGAGCCCGGGCCGCGGGGTCAGCACCTGAGAGGCCGCTGTGAAGTCCCGCGACGAGGTGGCAAGGCCGCCGTCGGCGCCGGGCGCCCTTGTGATGTTAATGTGCGGAGGCCGCGGCCCGCGGGCCGCAGCCCGGCTCCTCTGCGGAGCATCATCTGTCAAGGGGCGAGGGGGTGGTACTCGGCCCGGCCCGCTTTGATATACACCTTCCCAGCCTTGCCATTGTCTCTTTTAGGGCCCGGAAAGAGGGTGGTGACTTTCGCAGTCAATAATGAATTCTGGCAAGTCCCTCTCATCTCTCCCCTCTTCCAGACCCCTCCTTGGTTCCCAGGGGGTGTGGGGCGCCTCCAAGGCCCTTGGGCGCGGGCCACAGAGCGCCTAGGGGCCTGGTCACCACGTTTACCCGGCCCGTTCGGGGCATTCGGCACCCGAACGAGAGTCGCACCCCAGCACCCCAAGGCGAGTGTCTCTACTGGGGAGTTGAGCTCAGAGGACCCCTTTGCACCCCAATCCCCAGCCCTGGAGGTGTGTTTTATGGCTCCAGCCTGACCTCAGTGCCAGCCGCGCCCCTACTACCTGCCTAACCTAGTCGGATTCTCAGTTTCCTCATCTGTGAAAAGGGGCGACTACCACTGGCAGCCTCCTGTGAGTCGCAACCTGTGAGGCTGTAGCTCGTGGGAACGCACCGCCTCTTGGAAGGCCCTCGGGACTTGTTAGTTTCCCTCACTTTCTTCGGCGGCCGGGGGTCGCGGCGCTGCGCCCATTCAAATGCGCCTGCCGGGCGGTGTTTATGTTAATGCGCCTGGCGGGGAGGGGATGAAAGCCGGGCCGCCATTTGCTCAGTAGTGGTAATTCAAACAGAATGCGGTTGTTATTAAGGCATTGAAAGGGCTTTTCTTTGATAAGATCGCCTTGTCCGGCATTGTTTGCGGCTGTGTTCCCCTTTCAGCGGCTTGGGGGAGCTCCCTCTGATCCAGCCTGTATCTTCCCAGGGCGCTTTTGTTGTGGTTTGCAAAGGGTTTTACCTGAACAAAGTTGGCCTGCGGGGCATTAAACACCTCCGACTAGCTCCCAGACCCTTTAGATCTTTCTGTCCGACTGGGCACCGGGCTACAGAACCAGTTCTGCTGCCAGAAGACCCCGGCCTGGCCGTGGCTCTGCCGAGGGTTGACCCAGGACAGACGCGGTGGAGACGCCAGACTCTAGTCTGCTCCAACTGCGGCGGCACCATTTGTCAAGGCCCTTCGGTAAAACAATCAGCCCCAGGTTTAATATGTTGACTCAATCCAGTGAGTATAGATTCTTGGTCAGGATAGCTCTGCAGGGTTTGCGGCAAAATAAATGTGGGATTAAAAACAGAGTGGGAAATGCCAAACCAGGTTCCACCGGGTATATACAGTGTCCCCAGCTAGCGGGGCTTTCTGCTTGCCAGACCCCAGCTCAGAATTCCTGCAGAGGGGCCTGGGGTGCTGGGGGTGGTTCTGGTGACTTGAGGAAACCTGTCATCTCCTGCACTCCCCTTTCCACTTCCAAAAAAGCAAACAGAAAGCAGCCTCCACTACCACCAATTCGCAGTCACAATCCCAGCTGTTTTTAGGTGGGCTTTCATCTCTGGTCGGCCTGAATATTCCCGGGACTCTGGGTACTTTGTCCTGTTCTTTTTCCCTCTGGGCCTAGCTGGCTCCAGTAACATATTTGTTTCACCAAAATGGTGGTTCAGTTCTGCTTTCTTCTGTGTGTAGAGGTTTTAGTTTTTAATTTTTATTATTTTTATTGATTTAAAAATATGTCTTTATTAATTTCAGAGAGAGGAAGGGAGAAAGAGAGAGAGAGATAGAAACATCAGTGATGAGAGAGTCATTGACCGGCTGCCTCCTGCAGGCCCCCCACTGGGGATTGAGCCCATAACCAGAAATTGAACCTCGAGCTCAACCCCTGAACCACGCCGGCTGGGCTAGTTTTTCTTAATTTTTAAAAACCACTTAACCCCAAGGTTAGTTTAGTTGTCCTGGAGAGCCCCACACCCTCCCCCTAGGGCTCTCTGTTGGGGGGCGGGAGCGATCTTGTCAGACTGGCAGGAACCAGCCAAACCCTGGCCCCCCAGAGCAGTGAGGAAGAGAAATGGCCCTTGGGTTAGGGAGGTTTGTCATTACCCATGAATGATGGGCTGCCTTTAGTTCACAGTTCTGACTTCTTCCTCCAGTGAAAACCAGGACGAAAGACAAATACCGGGTCGTGTACACGGACCACCAGCGGCTGGAGCTGGAGAAGGAGTTTCACTACAGTCGCTACATCACCATCCGGAGGAAAGCGGAGCTGGCTGCCACCCTGGGGCTCTCGGAGAGGCAGGTGGGAACTGCCCTTCTCCCTCCCCACGCGGTCACTGCCTGAGGGTAGGGGGGCGCTCCTGTGGGGAGAGTTAGAAGCAACGCTGCTGAAGCCACCTAGTTCTGTGGGCAGATTAAAGCACCAGGATGGAGAGAATTTTCCTTCTGAATGCTATGAAACAAACAAACAAACAAAAAACCCAAACTCCTTCCACCTGTAGTCTTTTTTGATGATGTTGATTATTTTTCTATTTTTTTTGGGGGGGGGGTCAGGGAGATGTAAGAAAAAAACAGTATTAGTTTAATCCAGAATTCTATTTGGGTCAATAAAGACTTAAAGACCTATTCTCTTTGGGCCCAGCAGTGTACCTGGAAAAAAAATTAATAGATCCCAGTCCCTGCGCATAAAAACTAGCGGGGTGAGATTTGACTCACAAACTCTCTATATTGTCTAGAAAAAAACCCACAACAGGCCTCATTGACAGCCAGGAAGCCCACATTAAATCTCATTCTCCACCCCAAGGTGAGGAATATTACTTTTTAGGTTAGCTTTGAGAGGCCAAAGGTTGCCATCTGAAGTCCATCCAGCCCTGGCTTCCTCTTGCTTAGTGCAGAAAGCGCCTTTCTGGTTTCTGTTTTCCTTGGTTCTGAGACTCTGAACTTTTCCAGTAAAGTTGTAGATAAAGGTTGCTTTGGAAAGAAACCTGGGGGAAAAGGGGGGAGGGGGGAGGCCCTTCTCTCAGGATGCTGAATTGGGTTTGGGAGGGGCTCCAGTGGTGGGCTGTTACGGAGATGTCAAGAAAGGCTGAGAGAGGGTTTGGGGGTCCTTCCTGAAGAGAGGGCACTGCTTTAGTTAGAGAGGGAGGTATTGATGACATCGGTTCTCCCCCCACTCACATCCTCTTCTTCACCACCTTCTGTTTTCTCCACCCATCCATTTCCAGGTTAAAATTTGGTTTCAGAACCGCAGAGCGAAGGAAAGGAAAATAAACAAGAAGAAATTGCAGCAGCAGCAGCCTCCACCACCTGCAGCCCAGCCTCCCCAGCCACAGCCAGGTCCTCTGAGAAGTGTCCCGGAGCCCCTGAGTCCTGTGTCTTCCCTGCAAGGCTCCGTGCCAGGCTCTGTCCCTGGGGTTCTGGGGCCAGCTGGGGGGGTGTTGAACCCCACTGTCACCCAGTGACCTACAGTGGCCTGCAGCAGCAGAGCAATTTCAGGCTGAGCCACGAGGAGCACGAACTCTGCTCGAATCCTCAGGAGAAACCCCTCCCCTCCCACCCACAAGTGTACACCAACTTGCCCAGCTCTCAGAGGAAAAATGAGGGCCTGGAGTAAAGACAAGTGGGGTTGAAGGCCTCAGGGAAGACACTGTCCCAGATTTTGACTTTTTTCAGTCTGACTCTTTCGGCCAGTTAGGAGATGGAAAGGAAGACCACTGGGACTTCATGTAGTGCTGGCAGAAGCATTGTCTGGACTGGCTAAACAGACCAGCTTTCAGCCCCCTCCTCCCTCGCTCTTTACCTCCAAAATCTGCAGCATGCATCTCTGGTTGGCGCTGAGGGGAGACAGGGACTCAGGGGACCACCAGTGCTTGGAGCCAAGGTGGCTTCTGCCTACTCACTGCCATCCAAGGACCAGGGCAGGCAAGATTTAAACTGCAGAAGTCAGAGGCAGCTAAGATAGAAACCTGGACCCACCAAAGACTGCAGAACCCCCAGGTCTTTGTCTTTCTTCTCTCCTCCCCAGACCAGGACAGGCTTGGCTGGTGTATGTGTGGTGGATGGTGTGAGGGGTGGTTTTGGACTCCAGGCCCGACAGGGGGGCCGGACTGGGCCTTGTTTAGAAAGCCTGTCACCAGAGCTTCTCTGGGCTGAATGTATGTCAGTGCTATAAATGCCAGAGCCGACCTGGACTTCCTGTCATTTTCACAATCTCGGGGCTGATGAAAAAGGGGAGTTGTTGCTGCTGTTTGGGTTGTTGGTCTGTGTAACATCCAAGCCAGTCTTTAAGAAGCCTCTGGATCCATGGGGAGAGAAGTGATATGGTGAAGGGAAGTGGGGGTATTTGAACACAGTTGAATTTTTTCTATAAAGAAAAAAAAAAGAGATAAATGAGCTTTTCAGATTCTGTATTTATTGTCTTCAGATTTTGTCCAGATTTTTTTTTTTTTTTTTTTTT